CCGGCCGGCAGGCGCGGGGGGCCCAGCCGCCGAGCCGCTGCACTGCAATTTCCTTCATCACGCTCAAGGCTTCTTATTCTTACACGCGACGTTGCGAGTTGAGTTTGATGTCACGGAAAAATTGCGTCTTGGTCATCGCTAAGTGACTTGTCTCCACTTCCAATGGTTTTTAACTGAAGAACTTTTTTTTTGGTTAATATTTTAACCAACCGTAACCCCCCCTCTCAGAATAAACAAAAAAACCCCCACCCAAATTAATAAAATCAACAGATATGACTAAAGTGAGGGTGTGTGGGGAGGGGGAAGGGGGCAATTCCGCCCCCCCCCCGCAAAAAGGGGTTTTCACCAGTTGCCATTACTTTCTTCTGCTGAAAGACTGCCATCAGTTTTTGAATTTCAGAAATGTCATAAATCATTACAATTATTACAAAGGCTGGGGTTTTGTTAATAAAAATTTATCAATACATCCGAGGGTGAAGGTGGCCACCGCTTTGCACAATAATACCAATGTATCAGAACTGAAGATCAACCGCAGACGTGAGATGCGGCCGGCAAAGCCAGCTCAGTGGAACCAGCACAGCGCTGGACGATCGAGCCTCTTTCTATAGAGTAGCCCAAGGTAAATGACACAATTACTGACTCTGAAGGACTACTGAGTAATCTGGTGACATCAGGTGACAGCAGGAACAACAACCACATTAAAGAAAGAAGAAAACCCAATTAATACTTTAAACAAAATACTCCTTTATTTTGGAGTATTTTTGATTTAACATACAGAACTCAAGACTGCTATTTAAATTTTTTATTGTTCAAAGTTTTTCCCTCTAGCAGGGTGGCAACGCTATCTCAGTGCATGTTACATGGAAGGATCGTACCTCTCAAGTGTCCAGCTCATCAATGAGAGCAATACTGCACATAGTCAGTGCGCAAGCAAAAGAAGGTAACGCTGTAATGCAATTAACATACAAAGAATGCATCGCCAATGCATACGCAATCAGCTCTATGGCCAGAGAGATCCAGAGAGTAGCGTCACATGGAGAAGTAGGCTTAGCAGCACAGGAATGAAAAAGAAAACAGAGTTCCTGACCACAAGAAAGGAGTCGGCAACAAATTCAGAAGATTTGTACAAGTCTTAAGTGTTCCTCCTTCGCAAGGACTGCAAATTTAGCCACCAGTCTGGAAGATTCTCCGAAGCATCCATCATGCTGGGGGCAAGATGCAGAAGTCTCACTGAAAAAGGTGATGTAACGAGTGACTCTACAGCCCTTACGCGCCTGCTCCAAACTTCACCATCACAGGCAGTCTGGTACGGCTTTTACGTACAGCTGAAAGACCACCAGCTGCAGACCGGCTTCTGTGCTAGGGCTCCAACACCTATTTGCTCCTCAACCAGCACGGATAAAATTGAGCTCTTGTTTTTTATACACAGGACAACATTAACAAAGCAGCGTGGGTAGGTAGCTACATCCCTGCTGCCCCTACCTGCTGGTGTAAGCTCCTTAAGCATATCATGTAAGTAACAACCATTACTATCAGACTTCAAATATTCAAGCTTTAATACTTTGTTTACACCTGTGCACAAATACTACAGCCAAGACCTGCAATTCTGTGCCTTTTCATGCTGCTCCACTGTTAAGCAAGACCTAAGCAATCATCAGCTTTTAATTATGCACAGTAAGTTTCCTAGACTTTCTTTTTTTTGTTAAGAACTGAACAAAAATACCGTTTAGAAGTATGGTTGGTCAAGTTTATCACTTCATGTGGTACAATCAAACCTGGTTAACTGGCACTCATCAACTATCTCGTGATGGAATATCTAATGGCAGATTTCTTTAAATGAAAAATCCAAACAATTGAGAGGTATGCAGAAAACTTGTCTTAAATATTTGAAGCTACATGTGCAATCGTACAGAACACAAGCTACAGTTACAGACATAACATTAAATCTTTTTAACCAATAGTGCATAAGAACTTAAAAACAGTCAGTGAAACCAGTTCAGCCAGTGACTTCCAAAAAAGTCATGCCTCAGCTGCGTTGTGTGAAGGGGGAGGGGAATCATTCTTAGGCAAGTTTAACACGAAGTTTTAATCGACATTTGAAAAGCTGGTTTATCATATATATATATACTATGTATAAAATAAATTAAAAAGGGGAAGAAGGAAATAGCTTTGTATATGCTTCAAATTAACACAGACCAGTAGTTCCATAAATGAACAGTTTACCATCTTTGTGGTAAAAAGTTGACATAAAAGTTCAAAACCATACAATACTTATAAATAGAAAGAGTTCAAGAGATTTTTTTTTTTAAAAAAATGCAATTTAAACATCATTTTCCCTTCCCCTACAATACACTTCAGTTTTGTATGTCATAGCATCAATACATGTAGAGTATTTGAATGTCACATCCACACAAGAATTGATAACAAACCAGGTGAAAGTGCTAGCGGTGTTAAAATTTAGGACTTCTCCCAAATAACTCTACCTGCTCCTCAGCCTCCTCCTGAAATGAAGGCTGCCATCATTCATCACCCAGTTTGAGGTATGGGCAGAGGAAAAATCTGCAACTGGTACTCCCCGCCTCGCTTTGCCTCTGCTGAAATACAGCAACAACCTATTGATCTGGTAATTGACAACGGGGGTGCACAATCTCTTACCTCCATTCAGCTTTTACATAATTTAATCACTATATTAGAAAAGTTATTTGTGAAACATAGTATTAATGCTTAACTTAAAAAAAAAACAGCCCACACAACAAACCAAAAAACCCCCAAGAAAACCAACGAATCTTCTTTGAAACCATGTGTAAGTGTTTTTGTTCCAGATTTAAAGCTTCACATAAACACCGGACAGGAGGATGACAAGTTTAAACCAAGAGAGCACCTAAAAATATACCATAGGTAAAAATGAAATCAATCATCTCTTAACTTCATAAAAATATAGAAACCCTGCCAGTGACAGTAGTACACTTGGAACAAACAAGGGGAAAAGGAGCATCTAGAATACTCAAGAGGCTTGCTACGCTACTTCTCTTTATTGCCCATTCACTCGTTTGTATGGATGGCCACTGCATGACAAGATGCCTGTGATAGTTCTCTTATCTTCCTTTCACCACTGCTGCCAGCTGAAGTCGTCATTGCTGCCAAAGACCAAGAAAAATCCTAGGATCGTGGCAAAGATGACTGTATTCCCCGTAAGCACAAGCGCGCACGCGCCCCAGTAAATCTGTGAACAAGGGGAATTTAGTTAAGACACGTTTTGCACTGAACACTGACAAGCCAAAAGGTAACCTCTTAATATCACATTCTAGACAAAGTTCAGTAACAGGTCCGTGATGCAAGAAGGTGTCGTCTCCTTATTTGTGGTTACGCCAAAGAGGCTGGGTTTACCCAAAACAACTCGACCAATTCACAGTCAGCCAAGCGGCACTGCGAATGCCTTCGGGCTGTGTTCAAAGCCCTGGCTAGCAGGCACAGCTGTTTTGCTGTAACATCCAAAAATAGTAAAGCAAGGCTAGGCAGCAGCATCGAACACATCTGCAGCCCAGCTATACTTGCTAACCATGCTGCAAGGCTTTTTCAAACAGGCATTCGAGGACGTGGGTCTTCAAAATGCTAGCAAGATACCCCAGTAATAAAACAGGAGGTGAACGTTTTCCAAAGGGAGTTAAGTGGGTTGCTCGAAGGGTGTGAGGCATTCAAACCGAACGTCTGAACTGTTCTTGCCTGAAGAGATTTTATGAAAGCACACTCCATGTTTTTTGACTTAGTAGTGCTCTCTGAAATTCATGCAAACAAGGTCATCGTTTAAAGGATTTTAGTGAAAAGCCATATACTGGGAAAGATGAAATGACAACTCGGAAGTTTAAAAAATAACACGAGATATCATTTGCAGTGAGCGCAAAAATGCATTGTTTATTCATGCTTCTTTAGCCCAACTATTCCACAAATTGCCTTCAAAGCATTCTATACACTTTTATATTTGGTTACTTGCCTGTTAAGTTTTCACACTATTTTCTGCCTCGTTTTCTCTGTATTGCATGTAGGCTGTTAGGGTTTATATTATGGCCATGTGAAGCAATCGGCAATCATGTCATTCTGCCATGTTTCTGGTACTGTTTTTTCTTGCCAAAAGAACTCTTACTCTGTTTCCACCACAAGCATCTTAGATGCGTATTTATTAACAGTTGCTTAGTGCATGAGAGCTTTACTTTTAGTAAAAAAGCATGAAGAACAACGTTTTCGGGGCAGGGGGGGGAGGCGAAATAATAGATTGAAATATTACTAACCAGTTCTGCTCTCGCAAACACTATCGGTAGCCCAAATGCTGAGACAACAATGCCTGTCGTAAGAAATATTGCTAGCTCCTTGCAGGCATTACTTGTAGCATCTGTGTCATCTACTAATCTTCGTGCTATGCAGTACGGGATAGGAGAAAGGACGTAAAAAAACAGAACAAACAGAGGCCAGTACTGGCTGAAAAAGAAAGAAGAAGAAAAGTTAAAGTTAACTTGATTTACCTCCTGTTCTTCTTAAAATCAATGCAGGGCATGCTCCCCATCCAGCATCCACATTTGGGAAAGACAGACACCAGCCCAGAAAGAGCAAATCCTTTGCTTCGGAACAAGCTGACATTAATCCCACAGACCGTTTGTGAGCGGCTTCTGCTGACCTCAAGGGCCGGAGCAGAGAGCTCACTAACGGGATATGCATAAGGCAAGATTTCACTAAGCAAGCCTAAATCTAATGCCACCTCACAAGATGAGCTTAACTCTTAAGTTTAACCTATCCGCTTTACTTGAGAATTGCCGGGATACCTTTGTGGACCCCTCACGTCATTTTGCCTGTAAGCTTTCAGCGCACGTATATGGAGCAGAGGATTGTTCTCGGCCAATTCTCAGCTGCCACCAGCACCAAGACTTTTTGGGTTTTCTTAAATCTGAATGCAACCCACAAAGACCTACAAAAAATGACACCATTGTATTTGGCAACGTTTTCTCTTATTGCTTGCAGCTTGCCAGACTAGATTTCTCAGACACAGCAATGCAGCTGTACATCATTTCAAGAAAATTTTATTGCACTTTGAAGGGTGACTGCATAATGATCTCCTTCCTAAGGGTTTGTGTCACCAGTCCTGGGTTTGTAACAAAAGAAAGCTGGCATAGGAAAGCTACTCATATACATAGAGACCTGCAATTCAGAGCCGCTAACAGGACCGTCAACAGGAGGATTATTGTTTATTTAACATTAAATAAGTCGATTTAAAAGACTTTGTCTAGAGTCAGCATTCACTTGCAAAGGGTCAGAGCCATAACTTCCTGCACTTTCGGTCTACTATTTCGTACCTCTTGGAAACTAAGAGACAGGAATCAATAGACTGAATGTACAGAGAGCTGCTGCCGTTATTCCAGATGCTCCATTACCAGGCACGGTACGCAGCCAAGGGTCTGCCCGAGAGTCACCGACAGCCCAGCTACCACCAAGTAACCAGAGAAATTGCCAACGCTTCCCCGGTAATACCTCCGTGCTATCCACGTCAGGAGACCCTGCCCGCTTGTCAGCCACAGAGGGACAACGCTGGAGATGCGCTGGGGCAGTGCATGCTTTAACAGCCCGCAGCCGGGCCTGGTTATTTAAATTTTTTTTGCCTTCACTTTTACGGGGAATTCACTCATGTAGGGCCTTTTTTTCCGCCCCAATCTTTTGAAGCCAAATAAACCACCCAAAAGCCCTCCTACGCTTATCAGCCCACAGCCATGAAAGCCAAACTACTCCGGAGCCACAGGCACGCAGCAGGAAGCGAAGAGCAGGAGGAGGAGAGTGCACGTTACTTGTACTGGGGAAGGGCGCATCCCAGCATCAGGAACATCAGTCCGACCGCTCCCCCGAAGGACAGGCTAATCAGGGCTGCAACGAGAACACAGATCCACGCCAGGTGAAGGCTTCCGTGCGCTGCCTAAAACACCGACCGCAGCCCTCCCGTCAA